TGAAAATTTTGTCATACTTTAACCGTCACGTTATGAATGTAGGTAAAAAAAAAAGCAAATATCGATAAGATATCAAGGGTCCCAAAGCATTGCCCGGAGCCCCAACCAGGCATGTGGTCTGAGTGTTCAGGGGCAGTACGCATCGGCTCTGTAACCGACAGTTTTGATCTGAGTAGATATGGAGTAAAGCAACTAAAACTATAATTAAAGAAATATTAATTAAAATAAATTATTAATAATTGATACAAATTATTTTTTGCAAATTATTTTAAAATCATTTTAAGAAAGTCTATCACAAAGACAATAAATCATCTAAAAAATATATATCTATATAAAACATAAATAAATATACAGTTATGTAAAAAATATCTGTAGTTGTAATTGTGTACCAAATATTTAGATTTCAGCATTAACCCATAGAGACTGACATTCTGCTAGACTAAAAGATTTTATGACTTCATCTAACTAAAGTGATGTTTGTGTTAATGTGTCGTTGAAATTTGATATTTAAATTTTTCATTGTTTTTTTAAGTATTTTATCTATATAATCTAGTCGATTTTATTTACTTTTTTCTTGTTTATGTTTTTATCAACTTATGTTATTAAATATCCCACAGTTTGATAATATACCTTCTGACAAGAGAGGTGAAATGTTGTAAAAACCTGGATGTAAATTAAAACACTTTTATCCAAATCCTTTAAAAATGATTTTCTTCGATAATTCACAGCAAATTAACTTTCTTAGACGTAGATTTGTAAAGTGGTTTGAATTTACACAAAATGCTTACCCAATGACCATTACAGGCAGGGATCTTTAAAATATGTTTAAGCCATGAATAAAATATCTATAGACAACAAAAATAAAACATAAAATGACCAACATGTTTATCAAATATGCTAATCTCCGTATTTTGCTAAATGACATCAATACGAACAAGTAAAACATTTCACATATACCTTGTGTTAAAGGTAAAGGGTCCGTGTCGTTAGGTTAGCACTTCTTCATTACACTGTGACTGAAGCGTCTCCAAAAGAGGAAGTACTTCGGGGTCTTGAACAAGCCCCACTTGAACCATGTACGAGTGGGCTCCCACTATAAATACGTACCTGTATCTATTTCGTACGGGCTTGGTGTACAAATAAATAATACCTTGTGTCTGCTAGAAAGGGCCATCTCTTCCAGACAGTGCTTATCCTTTAAAAAGTTATTCGGGTTAACATCTAGCGCTTGAGGCCTCCACAAATGAAGAACTGCTGAGTGGGGGATTGAGCAATTTTTGTTCCTTATCCCATAATCGTGAGATTAAACTCGGTCCTGTTTCCCTATTCCTTTTGGGCGTGTGGACAGAGAATAGCATCTCAAACGGTCCTGAATTTTAAAATCACGATGAGTGGTGACAAATATTTTGTCAGTTTAAGTTATAAATTAAACTCTTACAATATACAATATAAGGTTATGTTTTCTGTTTACAACTTCTATATTGACAAAATGAAAAAAAAAACAAATCACTGAGATTTGTCTGAAAAGTCAGTCGTCGAATATAAAAAAAAAAATACGCAGCTGGGCTGTATAAAGTTATTTTGTTTAACAAACTGATAGACATTCGTTTAATCGTGGAGTAACTCTTAATTAGATATACAAATATATAATATCTTAATTAGTTAATATATCGGATTTTTTAAATAATAAAATTGCGATGTTTATTACTTACCTCGTAAACTATAACACACGACGTCTTTCCTTCTCAATTGTTCCATTGAATAGACATGCGCAAACAGGCAATCTCAATCATATATATCATACGTGAAATACTTGTAAAAAAAAAACACAAATCAATACAAGCCTCTAACTGTAGGAAAAAAAATCTAAAAATAATATAAACTCTAACTATAAAAAATACTTTAATAATATCAACTTTGAACACTGTCAGGGCTAGTGCGTACTATCCCCTTACAGTCGGGGGGCTGATTGGGGAGGGGGCAGTGCTTTGTGACTCTCGATATCTTATCAACATTTTCTCTTTTTTTTCTACATACATTTATATATGTTACAAATTAAACTTAAACACAACTGAATATTAAAGAGTCACAAAATTTTCACGGATTTTGACGCTATTCTGGAGTCTTTTGTCTTTGTCCAAATATGTTTTGCTCATGTGAATGTCTCGAAAAAATTAACTATTTTTATTTTTATCCATAATCTTTAATATGTTAAAATTATTCAACTTTTTAACCATTAAAATCTTAAGCTGTTTATTTAGTAGCAAAATATTGTTGATTTAATTTAAAATGGATTGATCTATTATGGCGTCTTTAATTAGTATTCAGATACGGTTTGCTTATTATAATTTTACTACTTGAATTGTTCGACTCTGTTGCATATGACTCATTATTAGGTTACAATAAAATTTTTAGGGATACTACCTTATTAAAATTGAGGTGTTGTAGAATGTAGAGCCGTATCCTAGATTCGGGGGAACGGCATCATAGATTCAGGTTTGCCATGAGACCCTTGCACCGACCATGAACACACTCATAATGTATTGGCTGTTTTCTGGAATTAAAACATGGCTGTGTATCAGTAACCTACACATCATTTCCAATAACGCAAACAAAATCTTTAAAAAATAGCTAGAAGATTAGCCGAAAGCGTTGGGGACGAATAATCCATTGGACAATATATTTTTAACCTCTCCTTTAATAAACTTAATATTTTTTAAGAATGAAGTTTTAGAAAAAAAATGGGAACGAAAAGGAAACTTATACTTAACATCAAGAAGAGACAGTTGGAATTTCTGGAGCACATAATGAGGAAAGAGAGCTTGGAAAATCTGATACTCACAAGACAGATTGGATGCAAGCAGGACAAAGGAAAAATCGTATAATATGCCTCACTAAGATTGAGTAAATGGATAGCGGAACATGATTTAGAAGAGATAGCAAAAAGAAATTTATTAAGATTTACAAAGGACTGGAAATTGTGGAGAGCCATGATCGTCTGTGTCCTGAAGAAACACGGCTCATAGAAGAAGAAGAATCATGGCAAATTTCAATTCCGAAATACAAAACTTAATGTAAACATTTTATTTATTTTATATGTAGTTTTTTGGGGTTTTTTTTTTTTTTTTTGCCTTTCGGTTTTACTTATATTAGGGAATGAAATCTCCAGACTTTTCCAGCATATGAGACATGAAAGTTTAAGAATCTAATATTTCGTTAAAAAAAAAAATACCCAAAATGAACTTTTTTTAATTAATTTTAATTTCAGACAAAACTTGTATTGTCATAAATTGAGGCCAAGAGGTCAAATTAAGTCTTCTGTTCAGTTCTCAGTTTCAACAAAAAGGAAGAATCTGAAGCTCCCCACAACCATTATATAACTAGCGTACATATATATCTAGTACGATTAATACTGAAAATACTCGACCCGACCTATTTCTGTCTGGTCATTGTGGAAAATTTGGTCGGTCTAGCGAAGAACTTTTCAACACAACTCGGGAACACACACACACAAACGCGCATGCGCACACCCAGTGTGTGTGTGTGTGTGTGTGTGTGTGTGTGTGTGTGTGTGTGTGTGTGTGTGTGTGTGTGTGTGTGTGTGTGTGTGTGTGTGTGTGTGTGTGCGTGTGTGTACAGTATCCGAAACAAAAGTGAATATGATGACAAGAAGTGTAAAATTTTTGACAAAATGTTATTACTCTCGGAGAAACATATTCTCTTTTTGCATTTAAACTGAGGAAGCCAAAAAGGGATAAGCTTCTCAGGAGAAATGCGTCTTTTGATAAAACATTTTCACTTTGTGTCACTACACGCGCACACACACACACATATATATATATATATATATATATATATATGTGTGTGTGTATATATATATATATATATATATATATATATATATATATATATATATATATATAAAAGGGTCAAACACAAATATTCCATAGTTATAATTTATTACATTGGAATCGTAATCACGATCCAATTCATCAGACCTACAAATTAAAAAAAAAAAAAAAAGAAATCGGAAAATTGAGTTCTACCTGGATTCTATGTTTGGGAATATATATATATATATATATATATATATATATATATATATATATATATATATATATATATATATATGAGCGGATCAATATATCTGTAATCCGACACACACTTTAGTTGAATTTTGAGCGAAAATGTACTCTTTCTTTACGCTTGCGTCTGTGAATATTTTTGTGCGTATGTTTGCAAAATTGCGTGTGTAGTAACGTGTGTGCGTGCTTATATATGTGCGTGTGTATATCTGTATGTATCTATTACGTGTGCATATCTCTATGTCTCTCTATGTTTGTGAAGTATATTTTTACATAAAAAGATTTTTCTTCTATAAGAATTTTCACATGTATGTTTTATATTTTAATATAAAAATTGCCATATTTGACATTTTATTTGCATTGTTGTCAATTTAACGAATGATCTCTTCAGATGTGTAACACAGTAAGCGTACGTTTAACAAGCCATCTTCTAACAATAAAGGAATACGTCTCAAAATGGAAATAAAAATCTTTTAAGTACTTACTATTCTTTTATTTATTTTCACTGTCAGTATTTATCCATAATAATACCGGTTCCATAGGAAGCAGATTTCACTGATTGAATAATCAGTATTTCTTTAAAAAGGTGCTATTTAAACCACGGAACAGTCGTTTAGAAGTTTGTACCCTAGATATTACGTTAAATTATTTCTTCTGAATATAGACGAAAAATTGGCTGTACGTTTCAGCCTAATAAACAATAGCTTTTTTTTCTCAACAAACTCGTTTTTGTTTAGGACTTGTAGGTGGACTCGGTTAAATCTAAATAACTTTACAACCTGTTTGTTATTATTATTATCGTCATTATTATTATTATTAGTAGTAGTAGTAGTAGTAGTAGTAGTAGTAGTAGTAGTGGCAAATGCCATTAAAAATACTTGATATTTACCTGAGAGAAATTTCTGGAAAAATCACATGGTCGTCACAAATCACACCTTACTAAAGACTTTCCTTCGTGCTATTTTGTTTTCTTTCTTTCTTTTTTTTCTCTCTCTCTCTCTTTCTTTATTTCTTTCTTTCTTTCTTCTCTTTTCTTTCCTTTTCTTTCTCTCCCACACACGCGCGCAAAAAGGCTATGCATCCATATGCATTTATCCCGTCCTTTCTCTCTGTCTCTCTGTCTCTCTCTCTCTCTCTCTCTCTCTCTCTATCTATCTATCTATCTATCTATCTATCTGTCTCTCTCTCTCTCTCTCTATCTATCTGTCTCTCTCTCTCTCTCTATATATATATATATATATATATATTTGTATCAGCAAATCTTCCTTTTTATGCATGTTTCTGTTAAAAACGACAGACAAGGTCTACAGTTGAGCTTTTTATTTAATTTTCTTGTGTTCTGATCTAAGAGCCTTTTTTCTGGACAAAGAGTGTAAGAACTGTCCGAATGTTCTCTCGAGCGCTTTCGGCTATACTTTTAGCCATTATCAAGGATGGTTCAATGATGGATATTCATTATATAGTGTGTGTTCTATGTATGTTCAGTGTGTGGTAGTGATGTTTTAGTTTCCGAATACAGTTAGCACATTGTGGCTTTGTTCATAATTGATATTGTTAAGAGTTGGCTTTTTTCTTTTTTTATTATTAGAGCTTCCATTATTTTTAGTCTTTTTTGCAAGTGGATGCAGTTAATATATTAGTGTTTTCTACTGTATTCGGAAACTAAAACATCACTACCACACACTGAACTACATAGAACAAACTCTACTTGATAATGAATATCCATATTGAACCATCTTGATAATGGCTAAAAGTATAGCTGAAAGCGCTCGGAAAAACAGAATATTCGGACCACACTCTTTTGTCCAGAAAAGAAGGCTCTTGTGAACACAAGAAAATTAAATAAAAAGCTCAACTGTAGAATATTTTGTCTGTCGTTTTAACGAAACATGCATATATATATATATATATATATATATATATATATATATATATTTCTCTGGCACCCTCTCACAAACACATGCATACAACGTCAAGCGTGACTTCGTAAATATATATATTCACTGCATCGATTTAGTTGCAAAGTAGTTAGGTATTTGTCATTTATGCTAGTTTGATCTCAGATAAAAGAAAATATTTCTAATAATATACAGAAGAAGAAATCTTGGCGTGACATAATCTTCCCACTCGATGTTTTAACTCATTTGATTTTGTGCTGCGTTAAGCCAACCTTACTTAATACTCCTACATAATTTTATTTTGTCACCTGTCCAGATACGTAAACTAAACCCCATTTTTATTGTCATCTTTCATTATTTATTTAATTATATTCTTTAATTCCGGTGGACGAATAATCATGTGATATTGAGTTTCCAGTAAGACAAAACTAGTTCGTTAGCACAAACAATCTATTAAGAAAAAAAAAATCAGGCTTCTTTTAAACCAATTCAGCAAAAGTCTTCTTTTTCAGCTACAGCTAAGTGCACTTGTACCCGTTCATGTAATGGCGTCAAACTTTCGGAAAACTAGGATAAGTTATAAATATATCAACCAAAACGCTCAACAAATATCATCTTTCGCTTAAATTTCTTAAACTCTCTCTCTCTCTCTCTCTCTCTCTCTCTCTCTCTCTCTCCCTCATTCTCACCCTTTCTCTCTTTCTCTCTCTCTCTCTCTATCTTTCCCTCACCCTCTCTCTTTCTTTCTTTTTCTCTCACGTTCATTTCCTCAATCTTTTAGAAAATTTCCTTTCATTTTTCTAACTTCACTTTCCCGCCATTTTCATATCTATCTTTGGTACATATAACTGCGTTCCAATGCCGGATTTTCCTCAGGCCTTAAAATCCAGGGAGCCTCCAGCCAAGGTGTATAATATTTTGACACCGTCATAGGCCTTTCTTACACATGCTGCCATAAAGCCTTCAGTAATTTTAAACACACATCGTCATCTTCAACTTAACTCAAATTGTTTAATTTAATACACTTTTATTCTTCTACTAGTGAAAAATGGAGATTTGAAGTTGCTTCACAAGTGGAATAGCTTAGGGCTTCTCTTCGTCTAAATTCGGATCTGCTACATCCCTTTTAATTTATTCACTTCGGCCATTTTTTTTACCTTTTTATAGTTTATTCTTTTTACCTTGTCATGAGGTACCTTATTTCCCTTATTCGTTCTCCTTTTATTTTTTCTTATTGTTTGCTAATTTTTATTCTTTTCCTGCTTCTTTTTTTTAATTTTCTTTCGCTTTTTTATTCAATCCTTTAGAAAATTTCCTTTCATTTTTATTTAATGCCACTAAGATGCAAGGAGTTACTGGTAGTGAAAGAGTTAGATAGATGACTTTAAATGGAAGCGGAAACCTAATCCTAAACAAGAAAGAAGGGTTAAACCTCAACTCCTGTTCAATAGACAGGGAAGGAGAATGAACCGGGTAGTAGGCGAACGTACTTACTTCTATCCGTTCATTCTTTCATTTTATTCTTACTTTCAGTTTTCCGCCATTTTTCCTTTATATAACGAATGTCTTCTTCTTCTTCCTTCATTTTCTCTTATATTTATACTCAATCTCTTTTTTCTTTCTTTTCTTTTTTTGCCAGTTTTGACCTTTTTCCCGCCTTTATTTATTTTTAATTTTCTTTCGCTTCACTACTGTAGTAAATTTACTTTTATTTTGCTTTCGTTCTTCAGTCTATTTCATTTTTCCACCATTTTCTCATTTTTCTTTCATACAGGGTGCGGCAGAAATACCTCTCACATTTTAAAGGTTAACAAAAAGACCCAGGTAACTGCTATTAAAAAATGTATTTCACTGTTGCTTAACAAAAGGCTATAAATTTGGTTTAAAACATGATATCCTCTAAATGATAACCTCTATTGACCATACATTCTTGTGGATGATTTTTAAAGTTTTCCATCATCCGGAAGTCCGAGCGCTTCCAGGTTTTCCAGGTGGCTTTCTTTTAATTGATGGTATCTGAAAAAAATGGTAAGACATTAGCTAGATGAAGACACTATTGCCACTTACCTAAGTTCAGTAATACCAAATACGAGACAATTTAAAATGTGGGATATATTTTTGCCTTAACCCGTATAATTTTATCTTTTTTCTTCGCTTCGATATTTTTTTTTATTTTTTTTAAAATCATTTCACCCCATGCAAGTCAGTAAAGCCACTAAGACACAATGGGTTAATGAGTGTGAAAGAATAAGTAGAAAGAGAAACATTATTAAGGAGCGAGAACAAGAGAAGGGTAATCAAGAAGACAGTAGATAACGATTGAAATTGCATTTAAATTTTCGGAAGAGTTCCACAAGTGAGAAGTGCGAGAAAAGTAATTGTTAGCCTAGAACTTCCGGTTACATTGAACCATTTCAACTCTGAGTTGATTGCTGCCAATCTAGTAGTGTGCTTAAATTCATAAAGTAAATTTTTACCGTTTTTTTTCAGTTGATTTTTCATTAACCATTTCCTTCTTCTAAGTCATTCTTTCTCCTTCACTTTCTTTCCTCTGATTTTCTTTTTTTTTTTTTTTTTTTTAGATTTCCGTTCAAGTCATTTCTTTTTTTATATATATTTATACGTAATCTGTCGTTTATTTGATTTTTGTTGATATTTTACTTCCTTTGTTTTTTTTTTCACTATTTTTTTAGTGTACTCTTTTATCCTCTTCGAATTTTTTGAGTTTATTCCTTTTTTTTAAGTGTACTCCATTATCCTCTTCGAATTTTCGAGCGTACTCCTTTTTAAGTGTACTCCTTTATCTCATTTTACTTTTTTAAGTGTACTTCTTTATCCTCTTCGACTTTTTTGAGTGTACTCTTTTTTTTTAAGTATACTGCATTATCCTCTTCGAATTTTTGAGTGTACTCCTTTTTAAGTGTTCTCCTTTTTTAAGTGTACTTCTTTATCCCATTTCATTTCTTTAAGTGTACTCCTTTTTTAAGTGTACTCCTTTATCCTCTTTGACTTTTTTGTATCAAATACAAGCGTTTTCTTGAGTGGTCTTATTGGTGGCCCTTTCCAACTCGTAAGGTAAGCATACCGGTTCAAATAAACCTTTTGCCTGGATGTTTAAAAATCTGTTAGCTCATTGATTGATTCGATTTTTACGGCTTATCAACCCTTTGCTGGTTATTTAAAGTCAGAAAATATTTGTAGATTGTACGGATTTTTATTTTATATTTTTAAATAGTTGTACAAATCTTACTAATTAACGCATTAGCAGGGTGGAGAAGAGTTGAATTTATTCCTAATCAGAATTTGATAAACAAGCAAGAAATTATAATGTATAAAGTGAGGGATCAATTCTATATAACAATCAATTTATTAATTGATCCCTCACGTTGTGGTCACAATTCTTACTAATTAACCCATAGCTAGGGACAGAAGAGGTGGATTCATAACTTTGCCAAAGGGAATATAACGAACCCAACTAGAATTGGAACTCAGCTCTCCGATTAGCAATTCCGAGCCATTATCCATTGCTCCACCCGTAAATTTAAGCTGACAGCACCTGGTATTCCCAAAGCGGAACCTTTTCACAACAAAAATGGACATTAGAGATAGACATAAATATCGCAGATCCAGAAATATTTAAAAACGCTACTGGTTAAATGGAACACAAACAAAGCAACAGTACAAGACGGAATTCTAATAGAGAAGTTGCCTGCTTTCGATAATTTTAGCGTTGACAGCATTACAGACATAATAAATAAAATATATATCAGTTGCATTATTTAAATTACCCCGACTCTTATCCTCATCTTCGTTGCCATATTTATAACTTTTCGGCTGTTGTACGCTCCGCTCTTCGTCAGGTGATTGGAATTTTGAACCGAAGAATGTAAATAAATCTAAAAGACATGCCTGCGTAGCTAATCCGTATTTTATTGATAGATCGATTCGTTTTTTATTAATAGATCGATTCGTTTTTTATAGCTTACTTGGCAAGTTAATTAAAGCCAGAAAATAGTTTTAGACTGGAAGAGATAATTCTTGTTTAGTAAATTTGATAAAAAAAAAACAAGAAATGTGGAATCAATTCTGTATTACAATCAATATATAAACTGATCCCTCACTTTGTGGTCACAATTCTTCCTAATTAACCCATAGCTAGAAGAGGTGGATTCATAACTTTGTCAAAGGGAATTCACGCGTATCTGAATATATCGAACCCAACTAGAATTAGAACTCAGCTCTCCGATTAACAATTCCGAGCCATTATCACCGCCTGCAAATCCTATCTTACAGACCTGTTATTCCCTAGCGATTCTGACCAGCCTCGACCTTGCTTAACTTCAGTGACCGTACGGGAAACGTTGTTTCACGTAAGCTCTGCCAATTCAGATAATCGCTGAGAAAATTAGGTGAATAATAAACCCAATGAACTAAATAAGCACCGTGTTTACTTTTGTCTTTCTTCTTCCTTTATTTTTTCTTTATTAGTTTTTTCTCTTTATTTACAAGTCCCGAGAGCCACTCGAGTAGAGGCTTACAGAGTAAGAGGCACAGTTTATGCGGATATGTGGATAAGATAATGGTTTATTCTATACTTGAAACAGTTAAGATCGTAATGATCGGAAAAACAACCTCTTGGGTGTCCGTTCCACAGAGCAGCAGTTTACAGGAAGATGTTTAAATCTCACAAATAGAATACGGGGGAAATGCGGGTGGTTAGCTAAAAAGTGTGGAGGTTAGAACTGGAGAAAGTAAGGAATGTAGTTCGTTTGAGCACTTTTCCATGAATACTCATTTCCTGGGTATGACAATAAACTAAATCCGGCAGCAAGCCCTCTGATCGGGAGGTTTTGAGGAGCTTGGGGCTACCTCTTAATTTTTGTTGTTCTCTTTTCTTTTTCTTTTCTTTTAATTTTCTTTCTTTTTCCTTTTCTTTCTCTTTCTTTTCTTTTTATTTTCTTTTCTTTTCTTTGTTTTATTAAATTCGTATATTCTTTCTCTTTGTTTTCTTTTTTCTTTTCTTTCTTTTTCTTTTCTTTTTTCTTTTCTTTCTTTTTCTTTTCTTTTATTTACTTTCTCTTTCTTTGTTTTATACTTTCCTTTCTCTTTCTTTTCTTTTTAATTTCCTTTCTTTTTCTTTTCTTTTTCTTTTCTTTCTTTTTCCTTTCTTTTTTTTTCTTTCTTTTTCTGTTCTTTTTTATTTTCTTTACATTTTACTTTAAGACAATTCCCTTTATGTTTTTTTTTTTCCAAATTGGCCTCGTTGTGTTATTTTGTAGCTTTCTTTCTTTCTTTCTTTCTTTCTTTCTTTCTTTCTTTTGGTCAATCATTTATACTCGTTTCTGAAGTTGAAAAACTAGTCCCGTCTTCGACTTACCCTTATGATGCAGATTTGCATCTTAAAATAATCCATTAAAACTTCAATATCTAAAGAATACAAATACAAGTTCACTTGAATCCCAGCAAGGCATACAGTTCGTGAGAATTCTCTTCTCGACACATGTAGTCTGTTATAACTTGTTCTTTTTCCACGATATTCAACTGAAGTAAAACTAAACTTCTCTCCGCTCAGTCAGAACATAATGCATAAAAAAAACTTTAGAGAAGAAGACACTTCAATATAATAAACTCAAAACTAATTGATAATGTACGAACCAAAGACCTATTTGAACTTCAAGGAAATTTTTATTCATTTTAAAAAAATATTAGAATAATCAAAAATATTTACTATCAACAAATCCCCTGCATTCTGCTTCTTCTGTGTGTCGTGACAATTCAGGGCGTAGCCGATCATGGCTCTCCACAAGTTTCTATACTTCATAGCTCTTAATTTTAATAATGAACGGCGTTGCTGCAGTTAAAACAAGTGTTGGAACTTGCCATCATTCTTCTTCTTCTTCTTCTTCTTCTTCTTCTTCTTCTTCTTCTTCTTCTGTGTGCCGTGTCCTTTCAGGATGTTGCCGATCATGGCTCTCCACAATTTCCTATCTTTCGTAGCTCTTAATAAATTTTGTCTTTTTGTTATCTCTCCTAAACCCTGTTCCGCCATCCATTTACTCAAGCTCATTCTTCTTCTTCTATGTGCCGTGTTCCATCAGGACGAAAGCGATAATGGCTCTCCCCAACTTTCTGTCCGTAGTAGTTCTTAATAAATTTTGTCGTTTTGTTATTCCTCCTAAACCTTATTTATTCCCCTATTTACTTAAGCTTCTTCTTCTTCTTCTTCTTCTTCTTCTTCTTCTTCTTCTGTGTCTGTCTTTACAGGACGTATGCGATCACGGCTCTCCACAATTTACCGTCCTTTGTAGCTCTTAATAAATTTTGTCTTTTTCTTATCTCACCTGAACCTTGTTCGGCCAACCATTTACTAAAACTCACTAAGTAGGTTATGCGTTGTTTTCCTCTGTCCATCTTGCCTCCAATCTGTCCCGTGCCTATCAGATTTTCTAAATCTTTTTATGTCCCTAAAATTCTCAATTGACTCTTCCTGAGGTTAAACAAAAGTTTCTTTTTCACTTCCATTTTCGTTAAAACTTCGTCGTTAATCACATGTTTGGTCCATGGTATGCTCAGCATCCTTCTGTAGAACCACATTTCTGTTGTTTTAAGTCTCTTCTTCAGCTGTGAGGACACTGTCCCATATTCGCTGCTATAGAGGAGCACTGATGTCGCGTAACAGTTCAGTACTCTTTGCAAATCACAACAATTCGTTATTATCAGGCAGGGGGGAGCAGGGGGTGTGGCAGGAAGATTCAGACTAAGAAACCGCAAAGAACGAAGAGAAAAATGAATCCAATGGTGAATGACCAATGACCAGGTAATAGCCAACCTATCCTTCCCAGAACGTCCGAGACAATTGACACAAAACGTCACAGGTAGTCTTTTTCTTCTTCTATGTGCCCCATCCCTTCAGGACGTAGGTGATTATGACTCTCCACTTCCTCCTGTCACATGTAGCTCTCAATAAGTTTTATCTTATTTTTTTTGGGGGGGGGCTAGATTCTATTCTGTAATCCACTTGCTTAAACCTATTTCTTTCCCTTGTCCTTTCCCCCTACCTACCCTGCATCAAATTTTACATCATTGCTCACATGTTCGGTCCATGGCATCGTTAGCATCCTTCTGTAGAACCATACCTCTTTTGCCTAAACGTTTCTGAAACTTGTTCCTGTATTTATGGAAAGTGATGCCGTTTATAATCTTTACAAAGATCCATTTCGAAACCGTGTAAGCCTTCTATGAGAGGTGAAGTTTTTACATTTCTAAATCCATAAGAATCCGTTGCATTTGGAACATTTCGTTACAGAAGAAAAAAAGAAGCTTTCCATCTCATTCATTTTGCCATCTCATGGGCACTGAGGTCAACAGCGAGCAACACATGCAATTTTCATGACCTGAAGATTGCTGCGTTTAAGCATGAAACAGTCGTCGCCGCATGGTGTTCAACTCAGTGTCCACTTTTATATTTACAAACGCTCTATCACTGATACTCAGCATTGTTACACATAAATATAGCACACTTAAAACCTATATTTTTATCACACACACACACACACACACACACACACACACACACACACACACACACATATATATATATATATATATATATATATATATATATATATATATATATATTGGGATTGTAACATTTTTGTAATCCTATGTTCCAGTGTCATACATCGATTTTTTTTTTAACAGTAATGAAAAAGCCATTAATTTGTTTTAGTTCTTGAAAAATTCATCCAAAACCGAAACTTCGATTTACCATATATGCAATAAGGGAATTAAATCAAAATATGTCCGGAGCTTTATTTTTCAATTTGCTAATAATGTTATTGGATAGTACTTATGTATCTTTTAACACATTTAAAACTTTATAGAATGTGCGGGTGATATTTTTTAAATACATTGAATTTAACCGATCTTCATTATTTTTAACCAGAACTTCATATAATTATTTATTTTAAAAAAGTCAAAAATCCTAATCGCAATATATATATATATATATATATATATATATATATATATATATATATATAATAATTTCGAATTTGATTCTATGAAGATTTTAAAATATATTCATAATAAAAATCTTAGACGAATTTATGAGACAGGCATAATATCTATCTCACGCACGGTGAATACTAGACCCGGCTTCTTTAATATTTCCCCTTTTCTGGCAAGATGAATGCTGGACAAACGTACTTATAAATTTTAGATTAAAATAAAATTCTTTTACATTTAAAATATACTCTATTTTACGAATACGTTTTAACAACATCGCCCACGTGACGCCCACGTGACGCCCACGTGATCGTATTGCGAAACGGAACGCTGATCTTAAAAATTTCAGTTATTCTCTTTTGATTAGTCTTATGTCTATCGTCTTTTCATGTTGACTTGAATTCGTCTAATTTTAATTATGTTTTAATAACTATGTCCTGAAGAAGGTCTACTAGACCGAAACGTCTGACGTCAACATTGAAACAACATTAAAACAGCATACTTGCATATTCGGATTTTTGTTTTTCCATATTTTTCATGTAATTTTATTTTGCAACAAGTATTTATGGATAGAAGCAAAAATGTCGTTAGCTTTTCAAAATCTTTAAATTTAACAATGTTCATAACAACTTCATGATACCTGACAGTCAAGGTAAACTATGGAGGATACTAAGGGATTTAATTTTAATGCCTAATAAAAAAAAAAGTGAGTACCTGTTGTTGTGGTTAAGTTTTTTTATTCAATCTAATTATTATGCAATTTCAGTTTGAAAGATTTGTTAGTTGCTCTCTCAAAAGTTTTCCATCTACACAAATTACTTTGTCATTAATAAGTGTGATATTTGCATCTAAATAGTGGTTATATATATATATTTATATATATATATATATGTATATATGTGTGTGTGTGGAGAAAATGACATAATTTTTTATATACGAGAACAACGTTAGAAAGGTTAGTGACAGTGTTGAAAAAATACAAAACAATATAGCAGTGAGCTACAAATATAAATGATCTGTACTATTACCTGTGACAACTGCCTCAAGGAATACATCAGGGAAACTTCGAGTAACTTAAATAAAATATTATATGAACACAAAAGGGTATTTTACAAAACAACAGACCCTATATATATATATATATATATATATATATATATATATATATATATATATATATATATATATATTTATATATATATATACATATATATATAATGATAAAAGTATAGTTTTAAGGTATGCTATATTTATTGTCTAAAATGCTCGATATCAGGGACAGAGCGTATGTAAATATAAAAGTGAACATTGATGTCAACACCTAGCAGCGAGAGTGTTTCATGATTAAACTCGTTTAAGCATAAAACAATCTGTCGACGCTGGATGTTGACCTCAATGTCCACTTTCATACACACACACACACACATACACACACACACATACGCACACACATATAAACACACACCACACATAAACACACACACACACACACACATATATATATATATATATATAAAAGAAATATGTTGTAGTGGTTCCAACGAGAGAAAAGTATGTATATTAAAAAGAAGAGGGGTGCCGCAAACGTTTTTGGTTGTAATGTGGATTTATTGAGAAAAAATATTATACTTTGTTTTACATAATTTCACGACACGTGTTTCTGGTCTGGTCTCGCAACCGTCTTCAGGTGAAAGTGGAGATTTTTACATATTATTAAAAATAATTAATTTTTCTTCATGTTCAATGTGGAATATTCTCGATATATATATATATATATATATATATATAGGTTGGGCACTGTTGAAGAAAGGGAATTTGATAGCTGTTGATAATGATTAATGCTTAGCTCTTCACTTTCAATTGAGCACTCTGGTAGCCAGTAATGCTTATGTGTTAAAAATTCCCTTTCTTCCTAGCGTGTGCTGATGGCCTTGAGGTGAGAGTCTCTCACTGATGACAAATTTGTCGGGTTGAAGCAATCGCATGTGTAGTCCCACTGATGAGCTGTTATACAGCGAAACAATTTGTCTGATGATGAAAATCGCACTGAGGAGCTGTGATACAGCGAAACAGTACTCTCTGCGAATCACACACACATACATATATATATATATATATATATATATATATGTGTGTGTGTGTGTGTGTGTGTGTGTGTGTGTGTGTTATCGTTTTAAGGAATGTTGATAAATATCGAAGGTAGAGCGTTTAGAGATATAGACAGTGTGTGCTCAGGAATCAACACTACATGGTGACTGGCAGTTCCACGCTTCAATGCAATCATCAGTTTAAGTTATTCAACTGTATATATGCCTTGCTGCGTATATAGGTCAGTGAGG